CTTCCATATATATATATATATATATATATATATGTGAAATAAAGTGAGTTAATTTAGTATGATTTAACATATAAATAAAATCAGACCAAACTAGAAGATAAATATCTCATAAGAATTTTGGTCAAACTTAGACGAACCATTTGGCTTTAGAAATGTTATTCCAACCAATTTGACAACTATATTTGGAGAGGAAGTAAGTTTGATTTTCAAGTCTCTACCCCTGTACATGATACATTGGTAGAATTTATGTCATGAGGTTCTTTACATGAATACAAAACAGTCTTTAATTTTAATTTTTAGGGTCATCACTGATAGGAGTATACAACTTACTAAGAGAATTTTTAATGGGGTTGCTTGCAGATGCTCTAACAAAATTCAAAATAAATCTTTAAATGTCAATTAATTATCTGTAATAAAAGCTTCACTCTCAAATGTCCTACCATGTGTGTTTACACCGTATCCATTGTTTTCTCTTAAAAAAAATATTTTTTGTTATATTTTTAGCATTTATTGAATATTAAGTTAATAAATTAATGATATATAATTATATATTATGTTTAGAATAAGTTATTCTATAGCATTTTTTTTAGGATATAACGTAATTCTTGTTTTTTTTCTTCATAACATATTATTAAAACTTTAAATTTGTTTAAAATGTCTGAAACAATATCCATGCCAAATCATCATTAAAAATATAAAACTAAAAAAATCAATTAGAGCATAATTACGGTTAAATAATTTATTCAAACCAGTAATATAAGTGGGTGTTTATTCAATCATTTATTTTAGTAAAATAAATATAAAAGACATGCCTAGTCATTCTTTATAAATTTTGACTTGGTCTATGCTTTAATATAATATGGTTTCAAATTTAAAATTATTTATTTTTGTTAACATATAAAATATCGTATTAAATGATATATAACTTTTAATCACATTCTAACTTTTTTTCACACCAATTACTTCCTAACTTAAAAATATAAATTTAATAATATTAAAAAACCCTATATAAAATATGTTACATACTAATGTTCTATTTATTTTATCTGTCGTTTTTTAAAATATATTTATTTATTAATCTACTTAAAAATTTAAAATAATATTAATTAATTTATCTAAATCTAATTCATGAAAATTTTCATATTAATTGTAAATGAATAAATAAATAATATTTTTCATAAAATGAAAAGCTAATTTTAATAAAATGAAAATATTTATTACAATTTTGAATCTATACATTATGATCGATTAAAAGAGTCAAGAATGAATAATGTAATAACACTAGTTAACATAAAGTGGTAGCTACTTTTTGAATTATATAATTAGATATAAAATAAATTATGTTGAGAGATAAATATTTACTACATATCTGTTCACAATTTTCAATTAAAAATAATCATGACTTTATTTATACCAAACATTTCATTTATAGGAAGTAATTATGTTTGAGTTAAGAGAATCATTATGGATGGTAAAACTCTCTATTTGAATAATTTGAATATTTAACATAATTGTATACTTAAAATTTAAGCTTAAAACTACTAATTAAGTTTAAATAATTTTTTTTATCAATTAGCTTACATATCCATCTATATAATAGTTATTGCTTTTAATTATTTTAATTTTGCAGGAAAATAAAATAAGTAAAATAGAGGAAAATTATTATAAAAAAATTAATTTGTCACATATTTTTTTAGCAAATAAAAATTTATATTATGGTAAGACATGAATTCATGTAAAATCATAATTATCTACAAATATTGTTTAGGATTCTTAATATAATTACATATTTCTTATCTATCTTAGTGCAAGTCTCCATGAAAATATATAAAATACAAAGAAATGTCAAAGATTTTTTTTTACTTTATTAATACAAAAAATTAAAATAAACACTATCTAATAAATATTATTTTCTCTTGATATAAATGTAAAGAATCTTTTTATGTGAAAAAATATTAACTAAATTTGCACTATTTAATAATGTTATCTAAAAATAACTTTTATTTGATTAAGATTATATTTTTAATACATCGTTATTTAAAATATCAAGTTTCAATATAAAAGTAGTAAAAAAATAAATTAATTTTTAATCAAAATTAATAATATCAAATTATATTAACTAATTTTCTTAATTAACACTAAAGTGAATATACAAAATGAATACAAATATTATAGGAGGATTCAAAATTCGTAAGGAAATAATTCCATGGTAGATTTGTATTTATTTTTCAAAGTCAAAAAGGCAAACTAAGAGGCGAGAAAAAGAACATGAATTAGCTGACACACATCGAACATCAAAATTCACCTACTATTAAAGTTTAATGACGATTATGCCCCTGGATCAGCGCGTTCAACCAAGACAATAAATATCCATACACGTCATACCATAAATAGGCGGGCACTGATTCAGTGTTGCCACGCTCACCTACAACCTCCCCATTCAATAAGTTCGCTCCGTTTCGGTGCTCGTGCTGGAACGCGTGGATCACCGTTGGAACAAATCAAACGCACATAAGCAGTATGAACGCATGCGCGTGCGAAACGGGTCCCACCCCACACGTCATCGTTTCGGGTAAGGCGATTGCTTCGAGACGCTGACCTTTCCTTTTACAAACATCCAACGGTGACGAGGGCGTGTAGTGGATTTACTTGCAGCGGGCGCGTCGTTCGAAAGATCTGTTTGGGAACCAGCTTGCACTTAAAACGCGCCACGTCATCGAAGCAGTGTTTGTTAATTGTCAACAGTTGAACCCCGAGTGGCGCTGTGTCACAGTGAACGCGAACTGAACTACCCAAACAGACCTTTTTAGTTTCATATTGGTAACTCTAGGAAAGGACAAAATTGCCCTTTAATTTTCTCGTGGTTTCTTTTTAATTGGTAACGTAGAACATTTTGTTTTAAGATCCGTGTACCGTGTTCACCTTGTGGAATACCCAGAATATATATATTATTGAACCCAGAAGGGGCATAACATAACATAACATTAGGATTTAGGACCTTATTTCATTTCTCTATTTTCCTCGTTTTTTCTTACACACTTCGTGACACTCTTCCATCATGTTTAGGGTCTCTGTTCTGCGCTTTTCTATGGTGTAAGAAGGAGACAAAAACATGGGTTGCTTTCGTTGCACAGGCAAATCAAGCAAAAAATCCAACAAACACATTAATCGCAGTGAGAAGACCAACAACCACACTGTTGCTGGTAAATTTCGCTTAGGGATCTTCGTTAATTAACATTCTCATGCATTTTACTAAGAATGGGATGAAACAGGTTCACCCATTGTTTGTGATCGCGTTCAATCTTTATCGCTATTTAAAAAAAAAATTAAATTTTGGACGTGGGTTTGTCCTGAATTGGTCAAGCGTCTTTCTCTTCACTGAGTTTCTTTTCATCGGTGCAAATTGATTATTTTTCCTCCCCATTTTGCAAATATCTATTAAAGTAAATTTTGTCACGTTTTGATATGTAGAGGAGAGCAATTCGAATTCGGTTTTTTGTTTGACTTTGTTTTAACATTGCAATTTCGTCCGTCGGCTGTAACGTTCTTTCGTGACAGTTTTTTTCTCTGGAAATTTAAGAATCAGTTTTGAAGGTTTAAATTGTTCGTATTAAGTAAACCAAAATATGGGACTTTTTGTTGTTGTTGTCGTTGATTGAATGGTTCGATTCATAATCAAAAATGGCGTTTGTCATTTTGTGCTTTTGTTTTTCTTTTTTAAATTTTGATTGCTGTAGTGTTTTTATTGTTTACCTTGCATGAATTTATGTGTGGTTTTGTTTGATTTCTCTCCCTCACGTGATGTTTATTTTGTTTGTATGTGTGTATTTTTCGTAGATAAGGTCAAATTTGATTTGAATGCGAAAGGCAAAAAAGAAGATAGTAGTCCTAAGCCTGATCAGCTATCTCTGGACGTGAAGAATTTGAATTTAAAAGATGTTTCCAATGAAGGAAAACTTAACGGTTACAAGGCGCGGACATTTACTTTTGATGAGCTTGTAGTTGCAACAGGGAATTTTAGGGCAAATTGCTTTCTCGGTGAAGGAGGGTTTGGCAAGGTTTATAAGGGGCTCATAGAGAAAATAAATAAGGTTCGTTAAAATTGGGTACCTAAAAGAATATAATGAAATGGAATAATCTTATTTTAGTTTTCATTTTTATGTTTGTGAGATTGAGGCTTGATATGTTTGTGTAGGATGTAGCAATAAAGCAACTAGACCCTTATGGGCATCAAGGAGTTAGGGAATTTGTTGTTGAAGTGTTGACATTGAGTTTGGCAGACCACCCTAATTTGGTCAAGCTAATTGGGTTTTGTGCTGAGGGGGAGCAGAGGCTATTGGTTTATGAGTACATGCCATTGGGATCTTTGGAGAAACATTTGCAAGGTATATGTTGTTATCCAAATATATTATTTTTCTTCAGATAGAATAGTGTAATGAAAATGGTGTTCTTTGTCCCCATGGTTAATATCTTATACTTTTCTTCAAATTTTCAGATCTTCCGCCAGGTAGAAAACCACTTGATTGGAATACTAGAATGAAAATAGCAGCGGGTGCAGCTAGAGGTTTAGAGTATTTGCATGATAAAATGAAGCCTCCTGTCATATATCGGGATCTGAAATGCTCGAATATTCTGTTAGGAGAGGGATTTCATCCCAAGTTATCTGATTTTGGCTTGGCTAAAGTAGGACCAAGTGGTGATAAAACCCACGTATCAACAAGAGTTATGGGAACATATGGGTATTGTGCCCCAGATTATGCAATGACGGGTCAATTGACGTTCAAGTCTGATATTTATAGCTTTGGAGTTGTTCTTTTGGAGATTATCACAGGCAGAAAGGCCATCGACAACTCAAAATCTGCTAAAGAACAAAATCTAGTTGCATGGGTATGTTAATGGTCTTTTAGGCAACTCTGCTACTCATATCTGTTGTCAATGTATTTTATATACTTTAATATTTCAATTAGTTAAGATTCTGGTAATAAGAAAGTCGAAAGATTTGATAATTGCATTCCTTTTCCTTTCCCCTCACTGACTATTTACATAAACCAAGTTGTTTTTGTTTGTCTTGTGTTGCAATTGAATTGGGTGGTTCTGTAGGATTTGTCAATTACTTTTTAAGTTGTATGGTTATAGACTCATAGTGCGAAGTTGTTGCAGATTTTCATAAAACAGCTTAACTTTGGTGTATGCATTGCCCTGAATTTCAAAATCTTGACATCTTTATTTGTGTACTAGCATGATATATAATCCCAAATTGTTCCTTTGAGATCGTTTATGTTGATTTCTAGTTTTCAATAACGCTGTTTATTTGCAGTGGTTATTTCTATTGTGCATTAACTGTGTACACTATACATAAAACTCAGTTAGCATTAGTACCCTCAATTCATTTAACTCATACTATATCCTTCTTAGCATCAGACACATCACTTCTAAAATGAACATGGACCTGTCACTGTTGATGATCGTGAATAGCAGTTTCTGTTTTTAAGGTTGCTGTTATATTGCCTTGTTGTCAACTTATTTAAATTGACAGAACTTGCGCTCATTTTCCTTCCAAAATCACTGCCTTATAATGCATATATATTTGTTACAGGCAAGGCCATTATTCAAAGACAGAAAAAGATTCTGTGAGATGGTTGACCCGTTGCTCGAAGGCAAGTATCCAGTGAGAGGTTTGTACCAAGCTCTTGCTATCGCTGCTATGTGTGTTCAAGAACAACCTAATATGAGGCCTGTCGTAGCCGATGTGGTTACAGCTCTAAATTACCTGGCGACCCAGAAATATGATCCCCAAATTCATTCGGTTCAAAGAAAAGGCGCATCTTCTCCAGGCGTGAGAAGCAATGGTCATGGACGTAGTCCTGGTAATGGTTCTGATCCTAGAGCAAGAAGCGATGCTCATGGACGTTCCGGTAACAGTGATTCTGAGACAGAGTGTGATCCCCAAGTTCATTCAGTACAAAGCTCTAGAAATGGTGCATCTTCTCCAAGAGTGAGAAGTAATGGTCATAGCAGTGGCTCCGAGTCAGAAAGCTCTAGAAAAGGTCTATCTTCTTCAAGACCGAGAAGTGATGGTCATAGACATTTTGCTAGTAATGGTTATGATTCAGACGGTTTTGGAGATTAGAAAAGTGAAGTGCTTTTGGATACTCATATTGTAAAATGCTTAGCATTTTTGGTTCCTCTCGCATTGGTGTACATGTGAGCTGGCTTATACACTTGAGATGGATGTCTCTCCTTGGGATTTTTTGTTTCGGTCCATCTTTTAGTATTTAGCCTCAGCTACAATAATCCACATTTTGATCTTAATCTTAACTTCAGTTCATTGGTCCCCACTAAGTATAGATTCTATACCAATTGTTTACACAGAATGATAGTTTGGGAAGATGGAAAGAAAGATCAGTTGGGAATAAAGGCACATGTGAGGGGGTGAGAGTGAGAGGCAGGTAAAACATGATAAAATTAAAGTCTGCTAATAGTATCAAAAGGGTTATGATATGAAATTACGTAAATGAAATGCTTTACAATGGAATGAGTATTCTTCTGGTGTATAATTTGTTGTCAAATGTAATGTTCTATTTTATGATATTTATATTGTTTTATCATGTTATAATGTGTATCTGTTGGAGCAGAAGGCATTCTCATACCCTATTGAGTTTGAATATACATGGAGTGTAGTTAAAGTTCAAGAACATCGAAATAGAATGCTCTAGTTGGAACCTTTTTAATACTATTATTGAATAAAATTTGTGAGTCTAAGAGTGACAATAGGCTGGATTAAGTAAATTTGGTTAATTATTTGAATTTAAAGGTTTGGCTAAACCTATTTATTTGATTTTGGCTTTTTTAAAAGATTGTTTTTGTTTTTCTAAAAGTCTTTTGATTTAAAATCTTATTTAAATATCTACCTAGTATTAAGGCGTTTAAAATAAACTAAAAGATAATATGCTCAAATCTTTCAATATGTCAATTGATGTATGTTTTCAAGGTTGTGATAAAAAATTTAAACCAATAAGCATTATATTATTTATACTTTGTTAGCAGTGGACTCCTCGACTGTTAAGTTCTAAGATATTAATGGGTGATTTGATAATAAGTTAAGGTGATAAAATAAATAATTATTACTATAATTGTTATATTCAATATTTACAAATAATTTTTTTATTATAAATAAAATTATATATTTTAAATATTTTTTAAATGTTGTTATCCAATTATATATTAATATGAATAATTAAAATAATACACTTTTAATAATTATTTAATAAATTATATTTACGATGATTTTTAATTAACTTGACTATATAAACAATATATTAAAATTAAAACTTTATTTTAAAACACATCAAATATAAATAAAATTATTTAACACTTAAGAAAACTCTTATGGTAATTATAAATCATGTTTTTTTTTAATTTGTCTTATTTATGTATGATTCATACTATTTTTAGTTAAATATAAAAGGAAAATTGATATTTTTCAAACTCGAAAGAATTGATTAAATTGAAACAAATTTCTTATTAGTTGATAAAGGTTGTTCAAAAATTATTTCAAACTAAATTAGAAAAATTAAATTGAACTAAACTATGAAAATAGTATGAATCATACATAAAAGGAAAAATTGATATTTTTCAAACTCGAAAGAATTGATTAAATTGAAACAAATTCCTTATTAGTTGATAAGGTTGTTCAAAAATTATTTCAAACTAAATTAGAAAAATTAAATTGAACTAAACTATAAAAAATTATCAACTATTTTTTTATAAAAACTAAATTGAACTTAAATTTGATTTTAAAAACTAAGTCACTACAAAAAATAGTTTCGTTCAACTCAAATCACAAGAAAATTTTAATTTAGAGTATAAAAATAGTTTAATTCAGTATAAAGTATAGTTTAAGTAGATAAAATATCGGTTCCATAGTTACTTTTTTAATGTGAACTTGAACTATTTTTCCTTAATTTTTTGTAACTAATTTTTTATAAGCGATTTTAGTTGACTTAGAAAGTTTTAATTTTTTCAAATTAAACTATATTAGACAAAATTTAGTTTATTAGAATAAGTTTGACAATAAGAGTTATTTTGAAATAATTTTTTTTATAAAGTAACTTAATTAAATTTATAATAAAAAGTTTAATTTAATTTAAATTATAATGTAGTTCAAATTATTATAGAACTGTGATTCACTAAATTAGAAAATAATTTAGTTTAATTTTTCTGAATTATTTTATAGTTTAGTTCAATTTCTATGAATTACTTTTATAATTTAGTATAGTTAACATGTAGTTAGTATAATCTTTTAAATACTGTTAGGTGCTACTTTTTTTTTTCTTCTGTCATAACCCTTTTTTTAGTAGGCAAGATTTTGAGTCCCCATTTTTTGTTTTGAATTCTAGGTTTAAACTTTTTGTTATGTTTTTAAATTTGTGGCCTTTAAATATTGTGGAAGTTCTTGCATTTGAGGTTTTTTTCTTACTTCGTCGCACATTTATGTTGTTTCTTGTTTGAGATTATATTTACTTTAACTTCTTGTCTTTGATTGTCAATGATCCCTTCTTTGTTCAACATGGATGATAAAATGAAATCTATGCATGTTAAAATAAGAGCGAATGGTGAAAGCTCCTCAGAAAACATGACTCGTTGGTTTACTGCAGAGTTAATATAGTTGTCTATAGAGGGACAATAAATGCGCCCCTGCACCTGTGTTGAATGGCTTGTGTATGATTAAGGAGGAGGAGGGGGAAGAAGGAATATCAGTAACGGAGAAGAAGAATGATAATAGTAATGGGAAAAAGGAAAAAGGTACAGGAGAGGAAGAAGGAGGAACAATGATAAAAGAAGACAAAGATATCAAATACGTAGGGTATTGCCCCCTGATTTTTTTTTTAATGTATATTAAACTTTAATTATTTGTATATTTATAGTTTTTATTATAATCATAATTACATTTTCTCTTTTATTTAGAAATATTTAAGTATTATCTATTCTTTTAAGAGTATTTTCTTATTTACTATTATTATTATTTAAAAAATTATAAATGATTACATTCATAATTAAATGATTTTATTAGTTTTTTTTATAATAATTTACAATAAATATTTCATAATTAAAAACTATTTATTATTAATCTTTGCATATGAGATAAACTTATGAACATTATGTAAGTGATTAATAACTTAAACTCTGAGACGTACACTAAATAATAATTATTTTTTTTATCACTATTCTTTTTATGATTTCTTTATCTATTTTCCTCATGTTTTCTAACATGCTTTTAAATTTAATTGTGCGAGTCCAAACAGACTACATGTTGTGTAAACTTGGGAAAACAAATACAATATTGAGTTGCCCTAAATGTCTATCAGAGTTTGTTTTTCCTATAATAGTCATTGTCACAAACCTAACATTATTTTTATGTTACTTTATAACTATTTGAAAAGTAAATTCTTCTTGTTAAATTCTATTGTTGTAAAAGATAATACGACGAATATCAAAAGACATTATTTTTCTCAATTTAATAGTTACTTATAATATTATTAATAGGACATTTTGTAAAAAAATTATAATAATATATATAAATTTTCATATAAATTAACGATAGTTATTATTGATATGTGAATGTAACAATTAATATTTATGTTTAGTTTATCTTTTATGTAAATGTTTTTTTTTATATAATCTTAAAATATTTAAATAACTTACAAATATAATATTTTATATAAAACTTAATAACTATATTTTTTTTTACATTTATTTAATAAATTTTAGTTTCAAAAAGTCCCCCCACCCCTCAACACACTCAGCATTTCCTGGCTTTGTCCCTAGTTCACGCTAGAATTGGTCATATCACTACGTATAAAATCTCTCTAACAACCTCTTTTGTATTTTTTTTATGACTCTCATTGTTTAATGAATCATGTAACATAAATAACTTGAAAAATCTCAAATTCAAATTTTAAATATATAATTGTGTTAAATATTTAGTTAAAAAGTTTTTTTTTTCTTATCATTTATAATAATCTTATTCCACTCATGTAAGATTGTTTATAATATATAAAAAAGTACATGTTATTTATAAAGTAAAAAAAAGTGAGTAATGCAAGTTTTCATTACTAATAAAAATGTGTTAAACTTTTTAAAAAGTTTATTAATAATGTATTGTTAATATATTTCTTTGATTATATATAAATACACATAAATAATTAAAATTATATCTAAATAAAATAACTTTTTACAAGATAAATTATAAAATTAATGTATGAAGTTTGACTGGCAATATTTTGATAAATTAGGTGAGAATGTAAAGCTAAATAATTTCTTATAAGAAACAAGAAATGGATTTTTCATGGCCTTGCTTTTAGAAAATTGAGTTCCTCGTTCTCATTGGATATATAAGTTGAAATATGATTTGAATTGTTATTTCATGAAAGTAAGATAATTTGACCTTGTTTATTTTAACAAAATATTTTCTCGTTTTCAATGAATAATTATAAAAACATCAAACTATTCAATTTTTCTTTGATATTAAAAATATTTATATAAAAGTGAGTCAAAAGGAGGTATTGTGTTTGTAATTATTAATAATAATAAAAAAACTACAAGCATTTGTTAAGCTGAAGATCTTTATTGTCGTAGACCCCACATTAGACAACATTAATGACGAACATGGTATATTCCAGGAAAATTACAACTGCTAATATGCTTTGTATAATTTACATAGAGGAAAAAAAGAGAAATAATCATAACAGAAGATGACAAAACATTAGTCAAATGAAGCAATTTTACTTGTGCCAAATGGAGGGGGTTTGGTGTAACTAGAGACTAAATTTTGGGAATATATATTTCGAAGCTTAGTTTCCATCTTTTTGTACTCATTTATTTCTATGCATAGTGAAGTATATTAGAAACAATATATATGAAGACAAAACAATACGTGAGGGTTCACATGCTACAATTCAGTAACTTCGCCTTCTCGACAATTTCCAACCCATATATATAGAGTTGATGAGCTTTTATGTGATGACAAAACTCTACAACAATCCCTCCTCGGTGACTGCAAAAAGAAAGAGTAAATCATTCAGTTAATTTTCAACATGAATCAACATAACGACCCATTTTCTCAGTGAATAAAATAAATGGAACGATATGATCTCACTGTATGTGCATGTATATAGGTGAGTTTAAAAGCATCTCTACCTTTTTCCAACGCAATGGATCTGGTTTCTTTGTAACTACAACGGAGGTGAATTTCTCGGGTGAATTCATTCTCCATCGACAGAAAGGGGATTTTGTTTTGTCACGAGTATAAACAGTAATGATGTTTTTTGTGGCGGAGTCATAATGAGTTCTGGTCATATAGTAAACGAAGGGCTTCTGACAAGGGTGTTTAGCAACAGGCCTTGTGTTGAATGCATATGCAGTGTAATCAGCCCTTTTGTACCAATTGAGAAAGGTTCGAGATGGCATCTCCATTTCTCTAGGGGACAACACTCCCCTTAAGATTTGAACCACGTAGCCCCATGAAACAGATATTGACCAATAATTGCTTTTGTCATAGCATATTGATTGTTGTATTATGCTGCCAGAGTCCTGATTCACAGCTTCCATTAGATGCCTCAAGGCTCTTACTCTTGTCATCCTTGGGAATATTGGTTGCACTACATCAAGGTGGTGTAGTGACACAAGTGGAGTCACTGGATGTGCTCCTAGAAGGCCCAATAGGTCTCCATATACATCATACTGCATAAGCAATTCAAGGGTATTAAAATCATAAACTATTTCCGATAATAATAACACAAGAGTATTAGTCACATACTTTTTCACGTGCCTTTTGTTATAGATTTTTTTTTTCACGTTTCACTTGATAATATATATGACCTCTACATTCTAATTTCTAACAGAGACATTATCGTCCACCCCAGATCATGATATGTAATATTATGTAGAGGGAAAGTGATAGATTTGACATGTAATATATAATGAAAAGTATAGAGATAAAAATATTGTGCTAACAAATGTGTTATTTGTTACCTGGTGAAAGCCAGGTTCCCTTGTGAGTGGCACTCCTAACTCAGACATGCAAGCTTGAATTCTATCATCACTACCATATAAAGCAGGGTATCGTTGAATGCAACGATCCTGCATCTTTGCTAGTTCTTGGGCCAATGGGTAGCTTATGGCAAATCCTCCTCCACCATATGCCATGGCATATGAGAAATGAATGTTTTGAACATGGCTTTCAGATGAGCTTCCAATATAATAAAAGTGTCTATGGTCGTATTTGGATAGAATTCTAACCACATTATCAACCATAAACACAGTGTCATCATCCCCCATCACGAACCATCTCACATCCTTCAGTCCAAGCTTCAACGTCTCAGTCACCACCCTTGATATCCTTAACGCTGATCTTTGACCTTGACGATTCGTATATCTGAATTTTGATGTGTCCCCTGAGATATGAATATCGGGTAACTCTTCATTTCTTAGAGTCCTAACTTTTTTATCCATCCACACTACCCCTCTAGTTTGTTTAGGTCTCCACCATATCTTAATGTATTCTTTTCTAATATGCCATAAGTTTGATGAAGCAGCAATCCCAAAAACAATGTGTTTAAGCTCAGTTTCATGTCTATTAGACAATTGTTCCGGGGTTAATCGAACTACCACAGGAGATTTGTTTTCTTCCTCTTCGTTTGTGTCTTCTGCACGAGATTCTTCGTCTTCTTCGTCATCCTCTTTTGCTTGGTTTTCTACTAATGGTTTTTTCGTTTCAATGCTTTTCTCGGTAGCTGTAGTTGAAGATGTGTTGTTGAAACTACTTATCTGGAGGTTTTCTTGCGTGGCATCCTTTAAATTGGTGGTGGAAGTGGAACAATCTAGTTGTTCATTGTTGAAGAGGATAATGTTGGAAGAATAAAGGGTGTAGAGTACAATGGTGATTAAGATCAACCAAGTGATGATGCTTTTGGAGCTTGTGTGAAGCATGCGTTGATGGGAAGAAGAGTACATTTGGTTTCTAATTAACACTAAAAATTTTAGTTGAGATCTTCAATTTCTTTTTTCTCTTTCTGGTTACCGGTGGTGGTGGGAAGGACTTTCAAACACAGAATAATCCGGATCATAGAAACAAAAAGAAGGTATCATTCTTACTATTTTGTTCTCATTTGGTGCTTCTAAGTGAAATTTGTTACGGTTAGAAACGAAGTTGGATGCGATTTTTGTGGATACTAGGTTGACAATTACATTATATTGGTCAACACAAAATTTCTTTAGTTATTTCATGGTTAATTTATTTTATCAACATTTTGACCTTACTTGCTTGATCTAATTGGATTTGCCCTGATTAAATTGTATAATTAAATATAGAAAAAGAGTGAAGTAACTTAATTACTTTTTGGTAGAAAAAAATTGATTGTATTTCAAACAATTTTGTATACCATATTTAAAATTAGTTATAGATATAATCGATTTTAAATTTGTGATAATAATTGATTTTGTAATGTTTCCAAATTGTAAATATATCATCCCACCAACTATTAAATCAATTGTGAGACTTCTGATTTAGTAGCCTAACATCATAGATTATTTTTGCACTAGTGCATATACTTTTCAAATTTTATTTTGTACAATCGATTCAATATTAAGTTTATTTTGATAAATATATTAATAATATTTGAAGAAAGGGGTTTATTTTTTTTCTTCTATAAATAACAATAACTAAAAAATCAAATTTAAATATGAGGGACCAATACAAAATTATCTCATAACAAAAAAATGTTACTATCAAATAGTATTAATAAGTAATATATTATTTAAACTTGTGAAGTACACAATGACAATTGATAAATTTAGTCTCTATTATTTATTAATGGGGTGTATTAGTTTAGAATTTCATAGGGTTTTAAAAGACTTTTTTTGAGTAAAAAAAGTTCGTTGGTATTCGATTAGGATTTTATGTCACTTAAAAATAATCTAGTGGTATTCAATCTGGATTTTCAAGATTTTTTAAAGAGTTTACTAAAATCCATTGGTATTCATTTGAAAGTTTTTACAACTTAAAAATGTTGGGAAAATAATTCAAATTTTTAAATTCAAATCTCTAAGATATCATTTAGATTTTAAAAGATATTGATTCTTCCAGGATATTGTTTAGAATTGAAATATATTGTATTTATTTTAGGTATTTGTTTCCTTTTTTAAAATAGTGATGTAAGGTCAATAAATAGAGACTCTTGAGATGAGAAGAACCACCCGACCTGTAGAGAGGGTCACCGCCTTAAACGAGAGAGGAGATCATATGAATGAGGATTTCCAAGTTTTGCCAGAAAACTTGTGAATGATGGTTTCCAAGTTTCACCCATAAAACTTGTGAGGAAGGAGTTTTCAAGTTTAACTCACGAAACTTGAAGGGAGGATTTTTAAAATATATGTAACACATTTTGAAGTAAATAATGAAAATCTTCGTGGACGTAGGCATGAGGGGCTGAATCACGTTAAATAAATTTGTTTGATCTTTTCCTATTTCTTTTATGGTATTATTTTAATATGTTTCTCATAATCATTATTGTGCATAAAAGAAAAGAAGTTTTTTTGTTCTCAACAAGTGATATCAAAGCCGATGGTCTGATCAGGTGACCGACTCGACAAGTATGATGTTTGGCAAGTGGATCCAAGTTTGGGATCCCTTGTGTCGAAAGTTTTCCTAACTATGGGTCCATGTGGAAGAGAGTCTTCCTGGTAACATGGAGGGTTAGGAGGCGTGTCCTGCTGTCACAAGGTCATCATGGAGCGACAGTACAAATACTTAGAGCGTAAGTGAGTTCTATAGACCACCATCGGATAAATACTTGTGGATCAATAGTTTCCACTGCAGGGGGTAAACCTTGATCCTTTGTTTGAGGGGAAGATTGTTGGAATGCAAGCAAGTTCCCACATTGTTCAAACAAGAGGATGAACATGAGTTTATATACACACAATTGTCTCTATTGGTTGAAGGGCCTTTTGGGTGATGTCCAAAAGCAAAATCGTGGTGACTGGGCCCGAAGCGGACAATATTCCACCAATGTGGAAACATGTATATGTGTGTGATAACTCGTGATGCACAACAAAAAATAATCCATTGGTATTCAAAAATAGGATTTAGATTCTCTAACTTTGAGAAATGAAAGTTACAGTAACTTAATGCATTTAAACCGTTAGATTTATAAAATAAATCAGATTGTGACACGTGTATAATATATATTTTGACTTAAATGTACACGTGTCACAATCTGATCTATTATTACAAATCTAACGGTTTAAATGTATTAAGTTACCATAACTTTCCCTCCATAAAGTTAGATGATCAATTTCCTTCAATATAGGAATTTTAAAGGATTGTTGTATTAAAAAGATTTTGAATGACTTTTTAATGGTATCTATAAATACTAAATTCATAAAACAATCTTATCCAAACCCGTCAACTTTTGGATGATTGTTTGAAGTGACTTTTCATCTTTTCTTTTTCTATGCTCATGTCTTCTCCGTTTTTTTCTCTTGCTAATAATAATGCATTATTACTCATATATAATACTGTACTACTGTTCCCATTCCATTCTCCTATTTGGTGAAACTTTTATATGAAAATGATAGTTTCATTGACTTGCTCTATTTTTTTCTCCGTTCTCTTTAATTGACTTACTTTATTTTTCTCCATGTTCTCTTTAATTGACTTGCTTTATTTTGCTTTATTTAGTTGATATTGTTTCTCGGTTATATAACACAGAAAACGTTTAAAATTTCAACTTTTAGTAATAATTTTTTTTATAATATGCGTCAAGAAAAAGGAAAGATGAAAGCTAATATTGATATCATGGTCTCTATAATCAACTAGACCTTCAATACCTTATAATTAATTTGGATTTATTAGAACAAAAAAATATATATAAAAGATGAATTTGAGTTAGAGTATCTGTGAATAGAATGAGATAAAATGGATCTTAGTTAGGGGAAGAACCCTCTCAGCACAAAAATTGGGATCTCTCTCCCTCTCTTGAATTTGTTACTCATATCCTTCCCCTTTTATGACTCAACAATTATTTTATTTATTTATTTTTACTATGAATTTTATTTATTTTTTATTGTGAAATTAGGATTTTTTGTATTTTAAAAAAGAAAATTAACATAAGACATTGTAATATCTCACAATTCAATACTTTCACGAGTAAATAATTGAAAGCAATTAAAAAATTAAAAATTATTTTGTACTTGTAACAAATTTCAAATTTTTTTTTCTCCTAGTTGATGTTTGTAAATTTCTAAGATATTTTAAATGAATAAAAGTGTATGAAAGACAAACTTTCACTCAAATACCAATATAAAATGAAGGGACATATTTAGTTATAAGAGAGTAGGGTAGCTGTCTTACTATTTTTTCAATCATTTATAAATTCATAAATAAAATATTTTAAATCATAAATTATAAAAGAATTGAAATGTTGTTTAGAATAATTTTTAGAATGTGCAATACTACATATCTTTTTTCATAAAGAATGTCATTCTGATAAATTTTCAATTAGAGTGGTAGACGAATCTTCATCTTCAACATTACTAATGAATGAAAATCATAATTTTGATTCTATTATTAAAACTAAGGAGCAAGAGCGAAATTTTTTTAATACTTGGAGGACTAGTATAGCTATGGATATGTGAGTGAATATTATTTAGAAAGATATGATATTACGAAGAATTAATATTATTATTTATCTGGACATTGTTGTTTTTTTATATTATTTTTTGTCTTTAACTCTTTTTAAATTTGAATGTATGAAAAAAATCTTGAACTCTTGTCGTATGTAAAAAATTTACAAAATTTTACAAAGTTCACAAATCCTCATAGAATCTATTAAAATCCTAACTTAAAAGTCTTGTAGAATCCATTAAAATCCTGATTGAAAGTCTTACAGAATCCTACAAAATCTTAAAAGTCATGAAAATCCTGCAAAATATTTTAAAATCTACAAGACTTTTTTCAACTAAAAAAGTCTTTTAAAATTCTAATCCAATACACCCCCTAAGTTCACGAGTTGAAATAATTAAATAAAATGACAAAGCAGAACTTTAAATTCAATTTGTACATTACTATTTTCTACTTTCACAATAGTTATACACGTTCTTCATTTTGACATTATTATGTCTAAGATACTTATGAGTATAGTCACTCAATATATATTGAGCACATTGATGTCCTAAGTTGATTATATTAGTAGTTAAAAATAGATGAAAACTTGTGTATTACCATGCACAATTTTTTTTTATTAATGTGAAATTTTGATTATTTTATTTTGAAATAAAGATATTTATTCTTTTTAATTTTAAAAATATAATTTTTTTTTATTGATATCTATTAATTGTTAATTTATAATGTCTATTCATACTTAAATGATGTTACATTATAAGTAATTTTTTTAAATAACATGTAATAAAAAATTTATTAATAAAATAAATATTAATTATTCATAAATATGTATATATATATAAACGGAAATCTTTTGTATGTTATTTTTTAATTTTTATTTTTATATGTCATGTGAAGTAACAAATAATTAAATAACTTTAAAATTTAATGATTCACAAATATCAAATGGATGATAAAATCAAAATTTTATATTTTTAAAAATAAAAAAATTAAATAATTTTTTTTAAATTGAGAAATTAAAATTATAAATTAATAAAAATAGAGATATTAAAAATATAATTTAATTTTTTTTCTTCATAAATCTAATATGTTGTAATTTTTTTTAAAGTATATTACTTTTTATTTTTAAATACACCGATTGATTTTGAGTTCTTTAGAAAATTTTAATAGGTTGGTAAGTTAAAAATAATTGCAGTTATTTTTTTTTTCCTTCTTAAACAGTTGGAAAAGAAAAAAACAGTTAATGTTATTTTATTTTTTTTGGAGTATATATATTTAAGGATAGTCTCTCCCAACATAAACCCTAAACACACGAACCTCATCCACAGTCTATCTCAAACCCCAATGGCAGAACGAGGAGGCGGCGATCGCGGCGGCTTCGGTCGTGGTTTCGGCGGGCGTGGACGCGGAGGAGACCGCGGGCGCGGGCGGCGGCGAGGCCCTCGT